CCCCACTTTTCCTTTGAACCCAGGTGGTCATCTTTACCTACCTGCTCTAATCTTCCCCAGCAATAGACTGAACACTGATGCCCATTACTCCTCCCCCAGGAAAGGTCATCCTCCTGTTCTGACCAGGCCTCCTGCTGAGCTCCCAGAACTCCATCTTTCTGTGATTCATTATAAGTCCCTTGTGCAAAGATTGGACTCTTCTCTCTTCTAACTGCTCAGATCAACCTTTTCTAGCTCCGCCTTGTTCAGAAGCTAATTACTTCTCTCCTAGGCTTTTTTTTACCCAACCTCTATGTTTCTGGCCTGGATTATCATTATAACCACATATTTTTATAAACCTCCTGCGTTTCTGTAGCCAGGGTACCATTCGTGACACGCTGAAGGACGTTATTTCTCTGCAGAAGGTTCCCATGTTGCTTACTATGGCATAGAAGTAGCTTACCAAGGCCCACAGCACCAATCTAGCTGCACTCACACTTTGTCCCTGTGGTCCTCAGATCTTTCTGTATCCTGCTTCTTCTAAATGAAATTTGCTTCCTTTGATATTTGCTAGATGCTTGCGCTCATTTTATTTAACAAAGGCCACTGCTCAACGAGGCCTTCCTGATGATAAAATCTGAACCCCCCATGGCCCCATGCCTCTTATAATATTTTCTTTTTCAACAAACTGAAATTACATTCTGGTTTCATTTAATTTTTGTGGCCTGCAGGGGGACCTGAGTGAACTGAAAGATTTTGCCTGTTTTTCCCCTGATTTACTCTAGCTTGCTAGCCACGTAGGATGCACAGCTGTTCAGTGCACAGGTGCAGGAATAGTGAACATGGATCTCTCCGTAGACTCCACAGTAGGAAAGAGAGGCAGGTGAAGATCCCAGTGTGCAGCTGCCCAGGCTTGATCTGGAAGGCTCACTGCGTCCAGCCCAGTCTAGCTGTGGTCCTGAGAGTCCTGCCTTCACAATGTTCTGTTTCCTGCCTTCTTCTATTGCAGCACAGGGGATGAGCACAGCAGGGGAAACTGGGGCCACTTGGACCAGGTGGCTGCCCTGCACTGGGTCCAGGACAACATTGCCAGCTTTGGACGGAACCCAGGCTCTGTGACCATCTTTGGAGAGTCAGGAGGAAGCAGAAGTGTCTCTGTTCTTGTAAGTATTCCTGTTAATAGGCCCTGCATCTGGGGTTGATGTGGCTGCTGACAGAATCTCATGGGAAACAGGAAATCCAGCCCTGAGCTATTTAGCTGGATTTAGGGCTGATTTTACTCACTGTGCAAGAGCGAATGGTGGAGAGCAAAAGCTGAAAGTCTCCTTGTCTGTCAGGAAGCTCAGAGCTCTGCTTAAGATCCTGGAGTCATAAGTGCATCTAGCTGCAGGCTACATTTTCCCCTTGCCATGTGGCTGAATTCTCCTTTCTAGTCACTATAATATTTGGACTTTCCTCACTTCTTTTGAGTAGTTGGGGTGGTTTAAATTATAATAAAATGGACACATGGTTATAAGTTGGATAAGCTGCCCTTGTTTTTGTCCAAGTTAGACCGTAATAATGAGGCAAATTAAACACCAAGAGCAGGCAGGGGGCTCCCTGAGGTAGTGCAGTGGCTTTTCCATTCCCAAGAGGGAGGATAGCAGCCTCTGGGACTCAAGTTGGGGAGGGGTACGTGCACGAATAGAAGGAGCGATGGAAGATGGGACGGAGAGGGATGAGAACCACAGACACCCTATGGGCACAAGATGTCTTGTGGGTGTAAGGAACTGGAATGACATGAATACTGAGGGAAGGTATATGAGGCACTGCAATCTGAGAAAAAAACCTCCAAGTAGCTCAGCGTTGAGCAGAGGGACAATTGTATCATTGTAACGTTGAGCAGAGGGACAATTGTATCATTGTATTTTCAAACATGTACTGCCTTCCTACTTAAATACTCAGATATATAGATAAATGCATAGATAGAGATAGACGGAGAGCTATCGAATACAGAAAATACAAAGAAGCAAAAAAGTTTTCCATACTCATTGAGGAAATCATGACATATATTTTTCTAGACTTTTCTCACTATTACCTCTGTATCTCACTGTCCCTTTCTATCTATCCACCTATCGTCCATCCATACATCCATCTACGATCTCACTCTTCCCTCTGTCATCTTTGTATATTGTTTTCTTTTCACAAATTTCAGCTCATTACTGTGATGCAATGTAAATATCTCTCTAAGTAAGGAAAACTCTTTTGTAATACTATATTTGATAACTGCTTCTTATTCCATGGTAAGAATGAAAATTTGTTCATTTACCCAAAATCATAGTATTGGGGGTTTTGGTTAGTTGTGATTTTTGCTACTAAAAAGCATCAGCATTCTTAGAAAATTTTGAGACTCTGTGATAATTTTTCTTAGGATAAATTCTGTATAAAGAGATGAGCATGGTTGCCCAAACCTGTAAACCCAGCAATAGGGAGGCTGAGGCAGGAGGATCTCTGTGAGATCCCAGGGAAGCCTGGGCTACATAGTGAGTTTAAGGCTACCCTGAATTACATAGTGAAACCTCTTATAAAAAATGCTTTTAAATTTTGAGTACTGGAAGTGTTGAAATTGAATTTGTGGCTAAGGTTCTCCAAACTGTCTTTCCAATACTTATGATGTTCTTGGAAGTAGGCTCTAGCTTAATCCCACTGAGGTTCTGTTGGGGGGACACTGGCCCAGGTGTGAGGCCAGGAAAGCAGGTGAGACAGGTGAGGAACTCCCTTGTTCAGGAAGTGCCAGAGTCTCCTGGTGAACATCTTGGTCAGAGGAGCAAACAGAAGGAAGCATAAGGAGCCTGTGAACGTAAATTGTCCTCCTCTCCACCTCCCTCCCAGGTGCTGTCTCCCCTGGCCAAGAACCTCTTCCACAGGGCCATTTCTGAGAGTGGTGTGGCCACCATAAATGATGGATCCATCAGAAAGGACATCAAGCCCTGGGCTGAGGTAGGACACACTGTGCATAGCTTGGGTACCCTTTTTCCTATTTTTCTTGAATCCTCAGGATTTTTCTTGTGGGATGTAGCTAAGGTGCTGCAAACAACCCTGAAATTGGAGTGACTTAGCAGAAAAGGTTTCCTCAGAACTCATATTAGAATCACTCTCCCTACTTTCTTGTGTGCCATGGTGTGAGTCGCCTTACTCAGGTCTCCTGAGATTCTAGGCCAGTTGTAGTCAGTGAGAGACATGATGCGCTCATAGGGGAGTAATAAGTGTGCTCATATGGATGATGAACCTGAGATGTAAAGGATGTAGGATGAACCAGAGGAGGAATTCTGCCTCTCTCTCTCTCTCTCTCTCTCTCTCTTTTGGTAGCAGGGATCGAAATCGGGTCCTTCAAGTTGCAAAATCCCCAGCCCTAGAATCCTGAATTCAAGCTCTTACATTCCATTCCAATTGTCCTCTTTAAGACACTCAATGTTGAAAATATCATGCCCATCTGTGTGTGTGTGTGTGTGTGTGTGTTTCTGTATGATAATGGGGAAGGAGACTGTGTCAATTTTAATAGAGATAAGGTATCATAGATGAGAATATTGTGTAGCTGACTCTCAGTTAGTAACAGAGACCCAGGAATCCCATCTAGAGTATTCAGAACTATTCTCTGCTACATTCAGAAAGTTGACATTGGATAGAAACTCTGTATTTTCATCGACAGAGGGGAGAGACATTGCTCTTGAACTCTGCTGTTGTCTGTGATCTCTATAGCATATTGCTGTTACGGCCGGGTGCAAAACCACAACATCAGCCATCATGGTTCACTGCCTGCGCCAGAAGACAGAGGATGAACTCTTGGAAACCACACTGAAATTGGTAATTTTGTCCATTAGGTGGCCCACTGCTTATACTTGGTCACAGACTTCATCTGTCCAGCTGCCCTCTCACATTAAAGAAAGCCTTTTACTCCCCTCCTCTGTACTTATGTCCAGTGCAGTCCGTGTAGTGTCCTTGTTCTCTGAGCCCAGCCAAAGAGATATCCCCAGTGGGGATAACCTGATACGGCTGGGGCATGGATTAAAGAATCAACATGTAACCCAGGAAGGCTTCTCAGCACAGTCTCTGCCTTTGTCTCCACAGAAATTTATTAGTCTGGATCTTCATGGTGACCCCAGAGAGGTAAGGATCTTTGATTTCATGATTACAAATTATGAGTCTTTTACCTCTTTAAAGGTAATAAATCTGGAATGATTGTCACTTCTGTGTGTGCAATTCTGTGACCTTAGAAGGGGAAGCCAGAATAACACAGCCAGGAGGAGCAGACGTGGGATTGGCACCCACTCCCCTGTCTTCCAGTCCAGGGCTCTAGTTAGCAGATCTGCACCTCATAGGCTTAGCTATGGTCTTTTCTTTTACATTTCCTCTTCCCGACATCACAGTGAGACAGGATGCTACATTAGAATCGCTCATTCTCAGGAGGCAGAGATAATTGCATGAGGAGCTCTGGCGCCTACAATGAATCATGAGGCTGATTAGCTGTGCAAGGAGGGAATCTTGGATCCTCCTTTCTTCCTTCTCACATCCTAACAGTTGCTAAGCTCTTGTGACATTAGTTGGACACCATATGAAAATCATGTCCTATCTCTGCTCCTTCTCCAAAGATGCCTCTGTGAATCCCTAACACTTCTATTTTGAACTCTTGCAAAAACCCACTTCATCACAGAACTTCGACCTAGATTTCAAAGAAAAGCTTGTAAGGCCAAGGTGATAGTATCTGAGTGCCTGGCAGGACTTCCGGAAAGGATGAAGAATGAGG